ACATGATATATTAAACAGCAAATGTTCAGAGCCTACAAAAAGAACTCCTCAAAACGAGTAAGATCACAGACAACAAGAAGTCTTCTGCATCCCCCAGAATGTCCTTCCATATCCACCACAATGTTTGTTGCTTCCTCCTTCACTTAGCTGATTGCCTAGATGACGGAGAATTACATCAGTCAAAGAAATCTACAGAAGCATAGGATGACTTGGGCTGAAAGGAACCTTAAAGCCCATCTAGTTCCAACCCCTGCCATAGGCTGATTAACCCTTACCAGATCAGGCTGCCCAGGGCCTATCCAACACGGTCTTGGCCCCTTCCAGAGATGGGCACCTACAGCTTCTCTGGGTAACCAGTTCCAGTACCTCACCTCCCTCCTCACCTCACAGCATTTCTGTGAGGGCTCCTTATCTGACTGCTGTTATATCCACTGCCTCTTCCCACATCTGCACAGGACGCTCTCTATGTTTATGTCCTTACTAAGTTGCTGCAAAATGCGCTCAGCAATAAGAGCAGTAAGACATTTTTTTCCTTATATCTAATCTAAACCTAATCTCTTTCAGTTTAAAGCCACTATGCCTTGTCCTATCCCTATATGCCCTTGTAAAAAGTCTCTCTCCAGTCTTCTTGTAAGCCTTAAAGTACTGAAACACTGCAATAAGGTCTCCTCAGAGCCTCATTGTCACCAAGCTAAATAACCCCACCTTTCTCAGCTTGTGTTCACAGGAAAGGTGCTCCAGCCCTTTCTGGACCTGCTCCAACAGGTCCATGTCCTTCTTGTGCTCAGGGCCCCAGAGCTGTATAAAGCACTGCACATGGTGTCTCACCAGAGCAGAGCAGAGTAGAATCACCTCCCTTGCCTTGTTGGCCAAAGGCCAGAGATAGCTAAAGCAAAACCACATCAGTTGAAGGGAAAAGTTATTTTATCCTAACAGTGCTTACTGAACAAGGGGAAAAAAAAACCCAAAAAAACAACAAAAAAACAACTTCTAGAGACATGTTGCTGGCTTACAATTAAATTAACGCCCTCAGCTTTGAGCCAGCATCAATTATTGTGATGAGGGAAATTGCTGAGCTCAGGCATTGCAGACACTTGCCAAAAGAAAGCAATTCTGAGAGTTGCTGTAGGGGATTTCTCTGCAGCTTTCCTGTCATTTTGCAGTACTTCATGCTGGCCTGCTGGACTTACAGGAACTTACGCCAAATCTGGTGGTCTCTGATAGCATGGAGGCTGTGTATTGACCACCTCTCTGGTGATGCTCACACTGGGTGGACGTGTGCTCGTCTTTGGTGTGGGGACATATTCTGGGGGAACAGAATGTATTTTCATACTCTGTCCCAAGATCATTAAAAAAAATCTGATCTTGACTGGTGGCAATGTGCTTGACAATGACATCCTTCAAAGTGACAACAGCCCTAAAGCTGCCCACTTACTAATTTAACTCTCTTGCACCTTGCTACCTTGTACTTAAAGCAGCCATCAACCCAACAGAGACACGCACACACACCAAAATCTCTCTCAGGTAACAGCTCTCTAGCCTTCTGCTCCTTCCCTGGATATCTAAACATCCATGGTATTTTTAAAAAATGGCCAGAAGAGCAAGGCACTGCCTTAATACAGCAGGCCCAGGGGGCCAGCAAAAGCTGGGAAGATTAAATCCTTGTAACTTCAGATTTGTTTATGTCTAGAAAGAATATGAGTACGGTGATGCAAACTTGAGGAAAAGACAAAAGGGTAACTGCACTGAGCTGATCCCTACAGGATGGAAAGCAACTTCGTATTCTTCTCTTTTGTGCAAAGCATCAGTACAATCAGGAGAAGAGGAGGGCAGGAAAAGGGCTCATACACTGCAGCAAAACAGCTCTTGGGGTTGTGCAGGGGTAGATAACCACACTGGAGCCCTCTGCCTTTGATACTCCTAACATTTTGCAAATGCTTAATACTGATTTTTGCTCAATGTTTACCTCGATGTACTCCTCGTTATTTATCAAAAATCACTAAAAAGTATCTTTCAATTTCACAGAAAGTATGATTAATTCTTCACATAGAATAAGGTAAAATGTGCACATGAATCATGATAATAGTACCTCAAACACAAGTAGTGTTGCCGTACGCGCTGACAACAAAGTAGACATGTAATAAGCTTGACTAATGCCTTATACAGAGGCATCTCTATTTTTCACAAGCGGCTGTTTGAGTCACACCAGGAGCACAATCCATTTCTGATTCTGTGCCCCTGAGAGCACACAGCATTTCTGTGAGGGCTCCTTATCTGACTGCTGTTATATCCACTGCCTCTTCCCACATCTGCACAGGACGCTCTCTATGTTTATGTCCTTACTAAGTTGCTGTAAAATGTGCTCAGCAGTAAGACACTAGTATTTGTGTCCCACCTCCACCTCAACAGTGGTATTATCTGTCTAAACATGCTTCTTCCAAATTATTTGTCCTTAAAAAGTTACTTAGGCCTTGGTAGAGGGCACTATTTTGCTATCTATGCACAGAACAAAAGACTGAACTGAAGGAGAAGCTTTCGAGTAACCAGGATAACTCTACAGAAGTCACTGGGATTAGGCTGCTTGGCAGGATTTGTGCTGCATCCCTTGTTTATCTTCAAAACACACTCTGCACACCTAATTAGGTCTTCTTCAAGCTTGGGACCTTGCAACAGGTCTTCTTTAATACTTTCATTAATGACCTTGGCACAAGAAAATGAAAACATACTAGTGAAACTAGAGCACATTACATTCTAAGTCTCTGTCATTGCAAAGGAAGATCATTTTTTTTAAACAGGCAGGCTAAAGGTAACACAAGCAGGATAAAACTGAAGATCACAAAGTATAAGGTCATGTACTTAGTGATTAACACCAGAATTTCTGCTATCATTGGCCTTGTGAAGGCCATCATTTAGCAGCAAAATAGGAGCACCTCATATTTCTAGCTAAAAAATGTTAAAATTCCTTACTGATGAGATGCAGGGCTGAGAAACTGAAGTGTGATGCCAGGAGGTATAAGAAGATTCATTTTTACCAGTAATAAAGTGAATGTGTCAGCACTGAAAGTCCTACTGAGGTCTTTTTGGGATGCTCTAAGATGCCAGGCATTTTTTGTTGAAAAAAAACAAGTTCAAGTTCAAGAGATGCTGTGGCTGCTTTGGCAGAAAGAAGGAGGGAGATGCAGGCTAGCATACAGGTTTAGGCTACACTTGCACAGCAGTCTGAGTGAATCACAAGGTTGTGGTATTTGAAGCAGAAGCTGTCAACCAGGCATTCCCCCACCTGGACGTGAGTGCAGAATCTCCTCTTGTGCTTTGCTGAGCCGGCACAGGGCTTTCCAGTGTCCCTCTTACTGCCTTCCCAAAGGCATCCAGAATATAATTCTACTGTTTGTAATTAATGACAAACCTGAGAGGAGAGAGGCCTGCCCGAATGGCTCCTGCAGAAGCTGCCTTAGTGAAGTGCTGAAAAGTGGATCTTCCTTGCCAAACTGGACTAGACATACCCATCTAGTTCCAACTAATGAAACGACTCTTTTTTTCTCCAGTTTCTCAGCAGGGAATTCTTTCCTGATATTTTGATATCTGATCCCATTTTCCCCATGCACTCACATGTTTCTCCTCACACCCCAACCCATACCTTCCACAAGCTGCTTGTGAATATCTGGGGGATGACATGAATTAAGTAAGGGAGTGTCTCACATAACGCTCTTATGCTTAAACATGGACATTAAGTCATTAAGTAGCTCTTTTGCAATGGAACAGCATTGAGATTTCAGCAGCACAAGGATGGTGGAAGGCCCATATCTGACATGGGGCCAGGCAATCATTTGGGAATGTGAGAGATGCCAAGTCTTAGTCATCCTAGGTTGAATCTCTGGGAATGTAACATTATCCAAAAAAAGAGCTGAATTTCTAGGGATTGTGAGACTTCCATACTCCTCCATGCTTGTTGAATGAACCACAGTAATGACAAGCAATGTGCAGAAATATCCCTTTCTGGTGACAGCCAGAAAGACTGGCAGGAGAAAGGAAAAAATGGCACAGAACGCCATTGATCCCAGCACAGGCTGGTCCACTTTGTACCATCTCCATGCATCAGGGAGGCTTGTGCATACTTAGAGAACAGAACATGCATCTATCACCTTAGCCCACACTTCACCCATTCAAGACTTCATCTGCCCATTGGAGGCACCTTGGTGGTTAGATTACAGATACAGCAACTGTGTGACTCTGTGTGCAGGAGGAAACACTCACCTGTGGGCTCCACTCCTGCAACCCCTACAGATTTCTTGGAACCACTCTGAGATTCTGAGGCCAACACAGCTGCTCACAGTGTGATCTTTTATCCAAACAGGCTCAAACTTCACCCAATGCTGTGATCTACAGGAAAAGATTTTTTTTAGTTGCCTTATCAGCCATATTAATGTCTGCTGTTGTCACCGATGCAGACAGAAAAGTGGGAATATGTGCTTTACTTTCACTGAGGCCAAAGATTAACTGCACAGTGCCTAAAGATGCAGAGTGCTGCTCAATGTCTCGACTAATGATCTGGAAAAGTGATTGAGCAGGGTGAATTTGCAAGTGACATGATGTTATTTGACAGTCAAAACAGAAGCCTGAGATAAGGCTGTGAAAAACTGCATACAGATCTAACAGACGCTGGTTGAGAGGGCAACACAAAAAACGAGGAAAACTTCATGTTATCAACTACAGCCTTGGAAAAAATATTTGAGTATTGATGTGGTCAGCAAAATAAGAACATTTGCACAATGTTCAGAAACACTCTAAAGAGCTGACAAAGTATGAGAAAGTATTGGACAGAGAAAAAAAGAAAGCATTAAACCACTGTCTAAATCAATACGGTCTCACCTTGCAGTTGGTGTTCTGTTCCAAGTTTCCCATCACAGAGATTCATGTGAAACAGAAAGTGTCCAGAAAAGTACAACAGAAGAATTTCAGATGCAGGGTTGGACTGACTCAGATTATATAAATCTTACAAGGAGCACACAAGAAAAAAATCTTTAATTAATTTAATAGAGAAAACGCACACATTACCACAGGCAACGTTTTCCTCTGATTTACGCCACATGAAAATCTGACCTTATCCTGTTAGTGTGAGTCACAGGGAGTTTGTGCCCTGTAAAAGAAAGCACTAAATGACTCCTGATGACAATCATTGTATCTACTGGGCTCTGCAACTACTGTTTGCTCAAACCTATTAAACTGCTGTGTGCCAACAATCATAAAGTCAACTGCATCAGCAATGCAGAATATTCCTCTCCACCTGAAGGAAGTATGATTTTGAATGAAAGTATGTGTGATACAAAGGGAGAAAATCTAGAGAAATCAGGGTCCTGACAAATGATGCTTTAAACAATATGAAATTCAGCTCTACATACAATGTCAGTGAGGGCCTGACCACCACTTGGGCACCTCCTGAGTGAACTCAGCCTCCACTCAAATAGTATATAGTCTCTGTATTGGTCCATGAGGAGGAAACTTCAGCCATGATGAATATTTATCAAACTGCTCTCATATTGCTAGCCTTTGCCTTATGTTCAGCCAGTTTCATTTTGTCAGGAGTGCAGCTGCTAAAGGATCTGGAAAGAGACTTTTCCAGAGTCTCAGTGGGATGGGAAGAATTGTCCTCTGGAAATGCCTTCTGCAGGCAACAAAGAGATGCTAGGGCCTCCATGCTCAAAATTTCAGGAACTTGGAACTGTACCTACAAGGGAGGAACTCACGTGTCTTTTTGGGGAGTGTCCTAGCAAAATCCTGTAAAACAGCATTTATATTCCAGGATACATCATCCTATTAATCTGTAAGAGTTAATTCATATTCAACAAAAATTCAATGCAGAAATTCTAATTATTCCACAAGACTCCAAAATGGGTTCTTAGCTCCTTTGTAAACTCATGAAACTGGAGAACTAATTATTTCTCAAACAACTGCTGGCCAGGTGAAGTCTTTGTTATTTCACATCATGTCTACATAGACTGCTGCCAGCATGCCAGCATGGTACCTGGGCAGCTACCTAGCAGAGACGGTTACAATATTCTCCTACGTACATAACGGTTTTCTGCCCTCATTGATGGCTACCTGCCAATCTAGTCAACTTCACCAAAGGACTATTTTCTTACAAAAATGTTTGGAGTCAGGATGAGTTGTTTAAAATGGTTTAACTGTCTTACAGTTTAAAAACCTGAAGACAACAGGGTGCTGGTCAAAAAAGAAAACCCATTACACCAACGCCAAGGCGCAGCACTTTGTGTCATGACCCAGACTCGAAGAGCATTTCAAGCAGAAAGGCCTTCCAGACTTGAGAGGTATAACTGATTGCCATTTTCCATCTAAAAGAAAAAAGGAAAATTATGCTTTTTCACTGGACAAAATATGTGTACAAGCCACAGATTTGATGGCTCTTAAGAACAAATTGACCGTTGCTTTGAGAAGGATGAATTTTATTCATTTGTTCCCAGAAAGGTCGCTTCAGATATGTTCTAGGAAAATGTCTGTCAAGGTTCACTTCTCATATAGTATTTCATTTTTGTAATATTCCAGATTCCAGAATGGAATAGTATGACAGCCACAATAACAGCAACGACATATTTTTTAAGTTATGCACACTAAGAAGAAATACCTATTCACAAGGAGTAATGAAAGCTTTGTTTTTGGCATCACATTACAAAACCAGACGTTTCTTCTGTATTATGCACACTGAGTCCATAGTATAGGAAGGATGGGCAGTTTGTGCATTCATTTTCAGGGAAATGTTTGGAATGAAGCCAGGAACAGCTCTGGCTCTGATCCAGTGTTATCTGCTGAAACACAAGGAGGGGCTGCTGGAAAAGTAACGATCAATAAAACTTCAGCTTTGAGAAGTTTCTTATGCTGGAGATAAGGAAAAGATAAGAAAATCACTCTATATTTAAAATTAACCAAGGAAATAAAAAATATCAAACTTGGAAAGTTTTGAATAAAGTAGCTAAGATTGCTATGATGTTAGAAAAACAGATTTATGGAACACTTGATATAGTTAACGAAATCTTTTATCCTAAAGCTTTCCTCTTAATTATCTTACCATTTTGATGATCCATGCATAACTTCTAAGCATAGGCAGTTTTATAAAAAACATGGTGCTCAAACTTACATAAATTAAACGAATTCACAGAACTCCCTGTTGGTAAGAACAAGGAGGGAGCATGCTAGCTGTGTATCAGTAAGTATTAACCGCTGAAAAACATTTACTGAAAGTTACACGAACAAGAATAATTTGAGAAGAACAAGAACAATTTAGCTGCACTAGGAGGAATCCTATAAAGAAACAGAATGAAATAAATATCAGAATTTAATTACAGTTGTGTATTCTGTTTGAAAGTCTCCGGTGTTTAAGTACATGGAAATTAGTTCTAAAAACTCCTCCCAGTATCCCTGTTTGCCATAGTGAACATGTAGTACCCTCACACTAAACCCCTCATCTACTCATCCATGAATGAGTCTCACCTTTAAGTCTCTCTATTCAGAAGTATCTCCCACTACAGAAAAAGCATTACCTAACACAGCAAACCACGATGTGTTACCTTGATGTTTTGGGGCTACATATTGTAGGCATAGCTGTTTACCTCAACTGAAAGCTTTACTCTCTCATTAGCAGCAGAATGGGAAGAGAAGAAAGGGGTGGAGGGAGTATCTCTCACTTAGGTTTCTCCAGAAGGGAAAACTTCCCATAGGTAAGCTCATCCCACTAATGTAGGAGACAACTCATTGCCTAGAGACCTCTTTCACTAGTCTCATTCTTTTCTCTTGCTTGCAACTCCATGGATGCTCATTCCATGTATCTGAGGCTTCCTACAATATTAATGCAAGTAGTTAAGTGACACAATTTGCATTAGCATGGGTCATCATTAAGCAGCTTGCTTATAATCACAGTATATGACCGTGATAAAATATTTCAGTAAAGCAAAGATGTTGTATGCTAAACACTACAAGAAGCTCAATTATTAAAGATGCAGACATAGTGTCCTGTTCTTGGCTTATCAAAGAGCTTTAAGCCTAAAATATGCATATATGCATACACACATACATGCACATGTCATCCCCTTTTTCAACTGAAAAATTACTTCATTCTGCATATAAATCACTACTGTGTACTGGGCATGCAATCACAACTAGGTAGGGACCTAACATGCTTTGTCATAGTCTTCAGATTTCTGATCTGCATACAAAAAAGGCTGTATTGAGTCCTAAATAAATTCATAACCAAGACTCTTTCCATTACAGATTGTAAGAAAAAGTTCGGTATGCACACATCCTATTGGCATGGGAAGCTAACACAGGAACACTTCAGAACAGAGTTTGAAAAAAATAGCTTACCATGAAACAAACTTCTGTTCTGATTCTTTCTACAACCTTTATTTTGGCTTGCAGAGTTCACAGGAGTCTGGATAGCTGTCCCACAGGCATTGCTTCTCTACCTTCTTTCCTACCCCATCTTTTCTGTCCTCTCCCTTATATCCTTTGTTCTTATGGTTTGCCAACACTGAGAATAATCTGATAATTGCAGTTCTGCTGTTATTGATCCCTTAGCAGAAGCATTTCAGAATAAAAGTGGCTTTTTTTCTAGAACACTTTTCACATGGGGAATTACCCCACCTTACATAACTGTACAGATGCTTCTTTTGATTTCTTTAACAGTCAGCTTCCCAATTCAGACAAATCCTTGACCTTCAATACCTATCATCATTAATATGATAATATCATAGAGCAAAGGATTATGTTTTACTTATACAGAGAATGGATGCTTTTGGATCAAATGCTTGTCTACATTTTGCAACTGTTGTTTGATTTAATATCATCAGTAGGAGGGTGTACACCTCTGCACCAGCTATGTCGCTTACATCCCTCGCTACACAGTTTTGGACAACCAGACTGATCAGAGCAGCCAGCAGCAGCCTACCAGCGGAACCTGAGCTCTCTCCCAAACTCACCATGCTCCTGGCTACACACCAACACTCCCTTCCCGCTGTGCAGTCGGGTTGGGTGAAGTCCCATCTCCCCTTTGGAGAGCCCTAGAGCAGCTGCCAGAGAAGGAATCATAGAATCACAGAATGGCCTGGATTGAAAAGGACCATAATGGCCGTCTAGTTTCAACCCCCCTGCTATGTGCAGGGTCGCCAACCACCAGCAGAACATCACACATTTCTGTCTTGTTCCTTTGTACCCCCTTTCCCTCCAAGACCTTCTCCCTGCTTTAAAGACACGCTACATGGGTGTAAGGGTCTATGCTCCCAGCCCTGTGATTTCATTTCCACTTACACATCCATTCCTGCTATCTGCTTTCTCATTTGTCACGACCGTTAGCAAAACAGCAGAAGATACAAAAATCTATATGTATCCCTTGCAATAGAGATGTTTTCTGAAGCTGGCACTACAATAAGCTCTTCACAGATGAGTGACTTTAATGGTTCACTCTCATAAATTGGGTAATTTTTCTTGGATAAAAGCAAGCTATATAATTAGAAAAGGGAACTAGTTACTTGTAAAGAAAGAATAATCAAATCACCATTATGAGGAAATTAGCTGCATTTATCTTATTTCTAGGGGTCCTATTGTTACCTCCCAATAGGATAAGCTTCAGGAGGATAACATTTACTTGGCAGTCTCTGTGACTTCTGCCACTCCTGTTTGTTCATGCAAGAGCGGGCGCTTTATTATGTTTTGGCAGAACAAGTTGCATTTAACTGAACAGAATCCATTACAAGACTGTTTGTTTCATTTCCATAAAAAAAAGACACACCTCAACTTTCATGGATGTCATTATCCCCAGCTGGCTCCTCTGCCCTTCCCCTTGCAAGTCACAGTTTTTGGGACAGGGACAGGCAAAACAAAAAGAGGCACAAGGGATATCTTCAAAAGTTTTGTCCTTAGGCCTCACTAGACCCATGCATGGCATTTCGGGAGAGGAATCCCCTCTGGGACTCCTTCACAGCTCTCTCCTGGCATCTGCAGCCTAGACTGGCCCTAAGGCTTAAGAGCCACTCTGCAAGAGGTTCCTTGGACCTGCTTGGGGCCAGCACTGCCAGGCCTGTGTTCTTATCCAAACAGCACAAAGAGGAACTGCTCTGTGTCCAGCCAGCATCCTCCCAGGCCTGTGGCAGGGAGGTAGGCAGCTCACTTGGATAAAAGAGATTTGACTGCACTCCCCAGAGTTTCTTCCACTCCTCTGTACCACACAACACAGAAGGAAAAGATGCAGAGAAACACAGTTATATGCAATAAAGTGACAGTAATTTCACATCCAGAGAGAGAGGTGGAATTTAACATTAACAACTGCAATGGTATGAAAAAGCAAGTGTCAAATACTGAGATTTTACTACCACCCATGATCAATAGCTGCTCCAGTCTATCAGGCTACAGCAGCATTTGCCCCAGCAGCAGGTATCAATAACCATCAGCATCATCCTTCAGCAGCAAAGACAAATGACTCCCAGCACAGATACACTTAACATGCAGCAAGCTAAACCAGACAAATGGTGAACAGCAGTAGACATGAAATTCAATGCCACCACCCCACACTGACACTCACCTTCCTAACCCAGACATGTTGTGATTTTTCTTCTCCCATGAGGACACAGTTTGCAGAAAAACTGCACCCATTATAAGCCTACACACTCAACAACTTCCTTTAGAGGCTTGCCCTCCCTGAAGTGACTTGTTTAACACAGTAATGAACGAACCCTGCAAGTATTTTCAAAACATAGGAAGTCCTGTGGCCTTCCTCACAGCATAATGCAGATACAATGTGGAGTCAGGCTGAATAAAGTCTAAAGAGCTTGGTCCCAGAAGCTCACAGTTATGTGTTACTTACTGGACGATGGTGATGCTTTCGCCTCGTAGATGGGTGTCTTTTTACCTTTAATGTAGGTTTAACATGAAGAGCACTTCTGTCAATCTCCAGCACCTTTACAGAGTAAACACAAAATACGGTAGTGTAACAAAAGACTTTCACCTTATTCCTTTGTTCCCAAGTCTCCAAACCATCCACAACCACTAGAGTGGCTCCTTTAAACTTAGCAAGAAGTTGGCCAGTTGAGGTCAAGTCTTCTGCAGGTTTCATGGAAAACCACCCAAATGTGGTAAACTTCACAAAAAAACTCAATTTGAGTATGCTCAGGAAACGTCTTAAAATTTGCCAGTACATTTTCTCAAGCCTCCATAGTCCAGCTCTCACATAAGACTACTGAATGTTCAGTCCTCTTAAGCAAGCCCTGTCCTCCACTCACAGGTTTTCTTGGGAGCTGAGAAAAAGAAAAGGCCAGTGAGTAGAAGTAGGTAAGGAATTACAGGAGGGAGGGCAAGACTAGGGAGAATATGGGCAAGAGCTGAGAAAAAGGTGAGGTAAAGAAAGGGAAAGCAGCCTTAAAGTTACGGCAAATGATTAAACCTCTAGAAAGCTGAATTCTAACTCCATCCTCAAATTCACATGCAAATCTAAGGAATTTGTGTTATGTGTATTCCTCATTTTCTGCCCCACCTCAGTTGAGTAATTTGTTATGTGAGCTGCTGAGATGCTGAACATCCATAGGCACATCTAAAGTCAATGAGAAGTGGACTCTGAATACATGTAAGCATTAGAAAGTTGAAATGTAAGCCTTTGATTGTCCAACACGCTGCAAAAGGAATCCTTATATTTCACCACACAGGTATCTAGAGGTGTTATTTTTTCATTTCCTGGACATAAGAAAAGATAATGCCATCCATTTCATAATGGTGTTACACAGATAACACTGTTAATGTTTAGCAGGATGACAGCATTTCTAAAATGCTCTAAAGGAAATTAATATTTTTATTTAATGGATGATAGTGCTGTGCAGTAAATCGTGCATTAAATTATACATGGAATAAGCATTAAAAGCAACATTAAATAGAAACAAGGAATTGGAAAGCTTCTGGAGTTTAGTCTCCTGCTATCTCAGGCAACTGTATCACATAAGCACTTTTATAGATTGATCAGGACTCGATTTCAAAGCAGACGGGCTCGCAGCTCTCAGTGCAGGAAAGTTGCTCCACAATCTCATTGCTCTGAAAATACCAGATCTTCTAATTCACAGTGTAACTTCATCAATGCCCGTTTTATACATTGTCTTACATTTAAATACCAATACCAATACAATAATCTACCAATGCTTAACCTCCTTTCAGGCACCAAATCTCCGCCTAACTTTTGTTAATCTAAACACAACAACTTCTTCCAGCCTCCTCTCATGAAAGATCATAATTCCTACTTCAAGACAGGGTTCCAACGGGGAAACAAGATTATGACTGTGATTTTTAAAACCATATGGTGCTCTAAAGCCCCCAGAACAGATGCCCGACAGAAACTGTAGCACAGCTCTGGAATCAGCTACGCAAGCCATGCCGCTGACCTGTAGACACAGCGACTGCACAGCATGTGCAGTTATGTCCTGGCTCATCACACAGCTCTCTGCACACAGCCCTGCTGTGACCAGCACTTCCACACTTATAAGACAGTTCTGCAGCTCTTAGTCATAGAATCATTTGAGTCGGAAGGGACCCTTAAAGGTCATGTGGTCCAGCTCCCTTGCAGTAAACAGGGACACCCATAGCTCCATCAGGTGCTCAGAGCCTCAACCAGCCTGAGCTTGAGCATCTCCAGGGATGGAGCATCCACCACCTCTCTGGGCAACCTGTGCCAGTGACTTGCTCCCCTTATTGTATAAAAACCTTTTTCTTTATTCCCAATCTAAATCTCCCCTCTTCATGCAAGTTCTCAGTAGGTGGGAAGGAGGTATGGGCTATGTTGTGTGAGAGACTAATTGTAACACTATTACAATTTTGGAGGGGAATCAGTGAGGGAGGTAGCCTTGATTAGATCAGCTATCCTTCCTTAAGTGAAATCCACACTCTGTGTCTTAACGGTGAAATAGTTTTGTCTCTGATGGAGACAAGATATTAATCACAGGTTTTGTAGCACAACTGGTCGATTTTGGTTGTTGCTTCACATGTAAATTGAGATGATGACTTGGGATCTGGTGAAAACAAGAGAATATCCTACTGTCAAGAAAGAACAAAAAGGCAAACTAAAGCCATAGGAAATTGCCAGGACAGTTATTTCTAAGAGAGAGTAATACATTTCCATTTCTTTCTGAAAGAGTTTCGTTAACTTCACAAGGAGTACTATCAATAGGCTCTCTTTTATAATAGAATAAATGCATCCCCCACTTAAATGACCAACAGCATTGGTTCACAGCACAGACCTCATGCCCACGTGCATCATCGCAGCCCTATCCAAACATAGACAGGAGCTGAGACGACAACATCCTGAGGTGATTCAGAGCATTCATCATCCTGTCAGGATGCCGGAGTTGCTGGACATGACTAAATTTGGTGATGCTGAAAGCAAAGGTGAGGGATTTCACTGCTTCACAGACATGGTGTGCTGTGTGAAGGGATGTACGAGCCTGAGGCCTGATGGACCAAAGGGCTTTGGAGCCCTCCTGAGCACAGTGACGCAGGCACAAGGCCGCTCTCCCGTTAGCGGAGATCCTCTCCAGATCCTCGGGGATCTGGGCAGCTTTTGGAGACGCACACAACAGCTGGCTCACGATGGATGGGCATTACTTTATTATTTGTATGTACTAACAGTAAGAGCCTAAAACTCCTGCCTCAGTGCACTGCATCTACGACTTCCTGCAAATTAAGTCCAGGTGAAATCGGAACGGGGGCAAAAGCAAATGTATCGATCGCTGCCCATGGCAGCGCCGGCCTCTCCCTGCCCGGGGCCCCACGGCACAGCGCCATTAACTCTTCACGAGCAATTTCCTGTCACCGGGCTCCCGGGCCACGGCTCGGCCGCGGGCATCTGCCAGCGGCTCCTGGAAATCTCTCGCTGGGAAACGCGCGGCCGCCGACACAAAGGCGGCATTCCCGCGCGGAGCGAACGCGCCAGGAGGGCGCCGGGCAGCCCGCCTCCAACCCGGCCTCGGGACCACGCACTTTGTCCTCCCACAGCCGCCCTTTGTTGGAGGCACCTCCGGTACGACACCCGCCCCCGGCCCCTCAGCCGCGGCCCCTCGCACCGAGCCCGCCCCGCACAGCCCTCCGGCGCCACAGCGCAGAGGGCGCGGCGAGGCCCGCCCCCCTCTCAGCACGGACACCCCCGCACGGGCCGCGCCCCCACTCGCCGCCCTCGCCCGCTCCCGCGCCGCTGCCAGGCCCGGGCTGCCGGGGGAGAGCGGAGGGGGGGCTCGGGGGGGGTTGTAGCAGTATCGCTATGGCGACAGTGACGTCATCTCACCCTGGATCTAATTGGAGGAAACCCCGTGGCCCCAGCCGCAGCCCACGGGCCAACCGAGCTTGTGCTCTGCCTGCGCTCGCCCCCGCGGCGGCGCGCCGTCCTCGGATTGGCTGTGCGGGCGCAGGGGGGCGGAGCCGGGCTCGCAGAAGAGGCCGCGATTGGCCGCGTGGGCGCGGGCTGAGCAGCGGGTAGGCTTGCCTGTGCCAACGCCCTTTAGCGCTGGCTCTCGCCCGCGACGGGAGCGGCTCTTTCTCTCCGCCACAGCCCCGAGCGAGGCACAGCCGATCGGGTGCCGCCCGCGGCCCGGCCTAGCGTAGCGGACTCAGGTGAGCACGGCGCCGCGTTCCACCGGCGGCCGCCGGGCCCCGCCTCGCCTCGGCTCCTCGTCCTCCATTTTGTGAGCGCGGTGCGGAGCGTTCGGCGGCCGCGGGCGGCGGAAGGAGCCGCCGGGCGGCGCCGCCATTTCACACCCGCCGGGGCTTTTCCCCTCCGCTCCAGGCCCCGACCTTCCCGCTCTGCCGCCGCCTCCCGCCTCGGCGCCCCCAGCCCCGCCGTCCCGGGGGACGAGGCCGCCGCGAAGCCGTCGGGCCCCCGCCCTCGCCTCGTCCCCGAACCTGACCCCGCCCGGCGACGCCCGTGGCGCTCCTGGATGGGAATGGAAGGCCTCAGTCCCGGGCCGGGGCCGCTCCCGCCGGGGGGAGGGTCGGTCCCGCCGCGCCCCGCCACCAGGAGGCGAAGCGGCCCGTGCTGCCCGCGGGGCCCCGCCCGGTCCCGGTATCGCCTCCCGCCCCGCTGGGCTGCGGCCTCGGGGCCGAGCGCACCGCGCCGCTCGCTTTCTTTTGAAGTATCTTTTTCCGTATCCCGCCTTCCTTCGGCCCTCCCCTGCGGGGTGCGGGCACGAAGGGGCTCTCTGGGAGCCGGCCGTCCTCCTGCGCGTCCCCGCGTTTAGCAGCGCTTCGGTGCGCTCGCACGGGGCGCGCAGGGTGAGGACAAGAAGCCGCTCAGTACGCCGGTGCTTCTTACCGGCTCCTCGGCTGGAGCTGCGTCCCGTCCCTGGCTGGGTCTCCGCGCTGTCGTTTCCCCGGGGCGGGCACCGGGACCGGCGCCCGTCCCTGCCGCAGGGTGGGAGGGTACCGGCGCTGCGCCGCGGGACGCGTGTGGGGATGGGGAGCTCCCTGCGGCCCCGGTAAGCGGGCTGCGAGGGCGCGGTGCGAAGCGCCGGCTCCCGGAGTCACGGTCGCCATCCTTCTCCTGGCAGGCTCTGAGGCTCGTTCTCTCGCTGGCGGCGTGACGTTCCCGGCTTCTCCTGCCTTTGCTACGATACTGCCCTCGCCCCGCCGCCGGCCACCATGGATAAGACCGAGTTGATCCAGAAAGCCAAGCTGGCGGAGCAGGCCGAGCGCTACGACGACATGGCCACCTGCATGAAGGCGGTGACGGAGCAGGGGGCCGAGCTGTCCAACGAGGAGCGCAACCTGCTCTCCGTGGCCTACAAGAATGTGGTGGGGGGGCGACGCTCTGCCTGGAGAGTTATCTCCAGCATCGAGCAAAAGACAGACACCAGCGACAAGAAGATGCAGCTTATCAAGGACTATAGGGAGAAGGTGGAGTCTGAGCTCAGGTCCATCTGCACCACTGTACTGGTGAGTGGGGGCTTTGCTTCTTCTGTGTTTTATCGTGAGAGAAGCGGTATGCTGCTGTTTTCAGGAGCGAAGGTGGGCAATTGGCTGGGGAACATGTGAGGTATTATGCTGCGGTGGGGGGAGTCAGTGCAGTAACTTTTGTAGCTGCTGTGTCGGTTATTGTGAGGCAGAAAATCATCTGCAGTTTGCTGTGGGTGCTGTATGTGCAGAGGTAATTGAGATGTGCTCAGCTGTATTTGAGATGTGTGTCTGATGAAGTGACCTGTGTGCAGTACTACACTAGCTGAGCACAGAGATGCAGAGAATTTAGACTCATGCTTGTTGGTGCTGTCGTTAGTAAGCTCAACTTCATAAGGTAAACTGAAAAGAAAATGAAAGCCCTTTATTTCTTAAAGTAGGAGCTAGTAACTTGTTAAGTGCATTTAAATTATTGGTGTTCATATAATGTGCTGCTTCATGCAAGGAAAAACAGAGGCCTTCAAAAGACATTTTTAGATTTTCTTTCTTAGATAATAAAATATAATTTTATTAAGTAAGACATCTTTCTTTAGAAGTTGGAAAGAAAGAGGTAGAAATTGGCTTTGTCAGACTCAAGTTGACTTATTGGGGTCTGTTCAAAACAAATATGCAGCAAATTTTGGACTAATGATCAACTGAGGTTTGGAAACAGGATATTCTATGACAGGTATAGTACACCTGAGCGTGTTTCAAAGCCCAGGAGTAAATATATCTCTGTGCCAGGAGCAGGATTCCAGATGCTTTTGATAGTGAAGCAGCATTGCAGTGCAGCAGGAGCTCCACAGACCTGTGTCAGCAGTATGGAAAGTATGCGAACCTATTCTGTGTGATCAAGATATTCTGGCTGCAGGAAGCTGTGTGTGTGTAGTGCAGTGGTAATGGTGTGGCATGCAGTCTTCAGTGGTTATGCTGTGTATTTTTGATGTCTAGTATTGCAAGCATGAGAAAGGAAGCAAGTAAGTTTTTGATTTAACCCTGAATTGGGTTAGGAGACCTGAGTTTAAAAGTAGCAGAATTTGCATCTTGATAAGTGTTCTGGTTCAAGTACAAGGGTGCTGCTTTGGATTGTGCTGAAACTACCTATGTGCTTCCTTGCATGCTGCCACCTAGATTAGTTTCTAACCACAAGTTAGAGACTTCTCTGAAATGAGTTACTGTTGCTTGAAAATAACTTGGAAATACATTCATTGAATGAACTGAATCAATTTCTTGGTGTGTTTAAGATTCTCCATTTTCCAAAGAAATTGTTTCTACAGTTGTGCCTATAGTTAATTTGCAAAAGCTTCACCTTTGTGAAAATGGTGCAACTTGTATAGGGCACTGATTGTGGTTTCCTGTGAAAAGATTGGCGCTGAAATTTGGGTGTTGATACTAATGCCATTGTGATTCTGCTCCATCTTCTTTGGATTCCCTTTGGAACCAGCTTCTTGAGACCTGAGCATAGAGCTTATTCTTCAGACTTCTTAATCTGCTTCTGTCCTCTGAGATATGGATCCTAAGGGTAGGTTATGAGTAAAATCCCATGCTGTGCCATTGTAACACGGAGCTTGTGTTTGTGTTTGTCTGGGAAGGTTGAACACCTCTGGATGGTAAATTGACAAGCCATATTAAGCAGTGGTTATACTGAAATTATTCTAGTTGTGTCTAATGGTGTGCAGCAGTGCTAGCACAAACCTCTCGTGTAGGGAAGGTGAGCTTCTCCTGCCCTGTAACTGTCATCTTCCCCAAGTTCTAGTCCGTTTCCTTTGTTAACAGCCACAGTCTGGTTGGTAGCTTCATCCTCCTTGCCCGGAAGGCTGCAGGAAGTGAAGATAGAAACCTCCAGATGAGCATGCCTGCCCAGTTCCACCCTGCTGGCTAAGGTGTGTCTCTTGCTCGGAGATGACAGTTACCTGCTGCAAGCCTTTGTGCTTTTACTCTCTGTTGAGTGCCATGCGCAGTTACGTTCTGCTCTGCTTCTTTCCTCCTCCATCTACCTACTGCTGCTCTGCCCCGTGAGTCAGCAGCCGAGGTTGAAACTTATAATGTGCAGGCACTACAAAGGATGGGTTTCCTAAAGCTAAGCCACAAAGAACTTTTGATTCCTTCATCTTCGAATGGTATTTCTTAGCTACTAATATTATGGTGTCTGCTTGCATCTTTAGACATCTTTTGATCTTTGAATTTGAACTTTGGTGATGCTTTTTCAGTTCTGGGAAGGCAGCTAAGCTGAAGCAACTGCTGGCAAGTAGTATGGAAAGGTTGCTTGTCATCTGGATATTTGGATTTAGCAAGGGTGGATGCACTGGGTGGAGTGGCTGCTGTTAGTCATACCACTGACAGGTTTTTTTTCAAAAATTTTTTTGATTTCTGGCATGGCATAGCTTTTCAAAGTGAAATGTATTTGCTCTTGTAGAAATACCTGTGCTAGCGTTACAAAATACTGCTGATTGCTGGTGAAACCGCCAACACTGAATCCATAATTACTCCTTTGCTATGAAGAATGCCTCAAAATAATTAGATAAGGCATGACTTTAGGCTGTGGCTTGATAAGGACTTAAACATCACGAGAGTAGGAGCATCCAAAATCATATAGAGAGGTATATCTCAAATGTGCATATACTTGTGCGCATCTGTATACATAAAAATGTATGAAAACATACATCTGTGTTACTAATTATGTAATCAGTGTGCCTTGTCAGTAGCTGTAGTAAGGTGTGAGAGATTGCATCTTGTGCCAAGAAGTGAAAATGTTGAATGTCTGCCATCCAAGTAGGAGCAGATGTGGTCTGAGCTCTTCTCAGCTCTTGATTTGGTGACTGGTCTTTGAAATGACTCTTCAGTGAAGAAATTGTATGATTTGTCAAACAGTGTGCATGAAATGCTTTAATTGAAAGTGACACCAACAAGTTTTATTCCTGCACTGATGGCTGGATTATCTTGTAACTGAGAGAATTGATGTTGGATTGCTCCTTAGGAATCAGAGTCCAAATGGTTCTGGAAACCCTTTTCTTTATGAATAGAGAAATAGGTTGGCAACTTTACTCGCCCCATCCACCTTGAGAGCAAAGTTCATGTTTCTTTCACATTCAGCGGGTGATTTCAAGGCAGGGTGGCTGGATAATAGAAGGGATGGAAGCAGTAATGATTTTCGTGTCATCAATGAAATAATGTAAGAAACTTTGACTGTGAGATGTGTGATATCAGGCTGTGATTCTGGGTTCCTCAGGTTTTCCAGGAGGGTAACTTTTAAATGAGACTTGTCTGAGTATGTGGATCAAAGTGCTGGGTTTGATAAACTAGGTCCCTTGGCATGTCAGGAACTTGCATTATGTTCAGGCTCTTTTGGGGAAGGGGAAGGAAAATAGTGTAATGAGAAGCAGGACACCAACCCTTGACTGAAAGCACTTAACTTTTCACCGGCTTCTGGAGCATTTTTTCCCTCACGTATTTGGTAGCGCAGCGTATGGGCTGTGTCTGGGTCTCAGTGTGATTTGTGCCCTTCATGGAGCAGTAGAGAGAGAGTTCTGATGGCTGCTTGCTTATGGCTTAGAACTTGGTGAAGAGGTGGTGGCTAAAGCTGCAAAGGCCTTGAAACAGCAGTATGGTGCTGGTTACATCCTCACGGCTGTAGCTGAAACGCAAACCGTTGTTCTAATCTGGTTCTTCAGTTACTGCAGAAGACTTAGAGATGTGAGGTTTCTTGCTTGTTTCCAGATGCCCCTTCAGGATGTCTTCCACAAACAGCTCTCCATTGCACCTGTCAGGTATTTCTAGGAAATGGGGGAGAGAGTGCATCTTGGAGTTTGAAGAACGGACTGAAGGGAGTGTTGCTTGTGCTGGTGGTTCTTTTCTGTACCCTGTGGGCAGTACCTGTAATGAACTAGTCTTGAGCAGGAGGATGTACCTCACTTCAGTTATTAGTGCCTTCAGGTTTAGAGGATGCTTGTAAATGTTTGATCTTCTGTGAGGTTGCAGCGTTCAATTCTGAAAGTGTGGCTTAGCATGTTGCTTTTGCCAGCTCCCCTTTCCTTCCTTCCTCCTCACCCTCCCTCTTCAGACTGCAGCATTGTTAATACTTCTGCTTCGTGTAATTAAGAAACAACGAATACTAAGGGTAAAGTCTCTGTCCTTCTGGTTTTACTGTGGATCTTGTTCTAGAGATAACCTATTTAACTGAAAAAGAAAGCAAAAAAAAAAAAACCCAACAACAACCAACCACCATTGAAAACCATGTATTAGAAGACACTGCTTTTCCAGCAGCACAAATTAATTATTTCAGTGAAAATGAAGTCGGATTAATGCAAAAGCAAATAGATTCCTGATTTCAACTAAAATTACCCGGTGTCAAATGATGAACAAGCTTTGAACCTAACCCTGTTTTTCACTGCTGTTATCTTTGTCCTCAGAAAAAATGGAAATCCTGATTTATTGTTTAATTTTTGAATTGTACATGTGGGCATCATAGAATGGTTTGGCTTTAAGACCATCTAATTCCAATGCCCTGCTATAGGCAGGGACACCTCCCTCTAGACCAGGGTGCTCAAAGCATCTGGTAAGTTCAGTAAATGTCAGCTTGGTGCTGTTACACGAACAAAATCTGTTTCTTTCTGCTTTCCTATTCTAAATGAGCTGCCGAAGTTCATACAGAAAGTGCTGTAGAGGTGAAAGTGGCATCTGAGTAAAGGGGCGTTACAGTCTTCTGAGGATGGGAGCTAAGATGCAGCATTAATCTGAAGATCAGATACACTAACCATTGCAGTTAACGGTGCTTTGCGACTGGTATCAGTTCTCCTGACAGCAGTTGGGGTAGTGCCTCAAGTCATTTTTTGCCATCTTTACATTGAAGCAAATGCTGTTGACTCACCCTCGTGAGTAACTGGCTAAAAAGCAGCTACTTCATGGCACGGAGCCAGGCCTTAGATTGGGAACAGTACTTCTTGGCACATCCCCAGTTGTGGAGTTACCATTGAAGACTGTTTTAAATTTAAGTTCAGATCATG